CTTAAGTTAGCTGTCAGATAGTCTGAACATACCTCCTTAAATACATACTTTATAGTTTAATGCCGTGCTATTTGCTTTGACTACATACTAATGAATCCAATTACGCTACTTTCCCTAGGGAGTGCGCTGGGCAACTGGTGTCGGCATAAATTACATCGATAGCGCCCGCAATAACAACATTTATATCGATAACCTGTCGTGCTAAAATTGCTTGGTGCATGGTGACTGGTTTTTATACTGTTCGGTCTCAAATACTGAACAGATTACTTCATTTATTTACTTACGTAAGAGCTGATCGAGATAGAGAGCAGCAATCAACAAAAATGTACAAAAATGCAGTCATTTTTGGCAGTTTTATTAACTGTTCTGTGACTTTATTGTTGCAGGCTGTTCAAACTTGATTCTTGATTTATATTTTCGATCAGACTGTATACCGTGTTGAATGGGTTTTGATATTAGCATTTATTTATAGCAGTTACTATATTATTTCAAAATTGTAAAAATGTGATCAAATCTAATATTAATCAATGTATCGCAATGTAGTCTATCCAAACTCGAAAGTAACTGTCTGCCTGTCTGTCTTTTCTTTACGCCTAAACTACTGAACCCTTTTTTGTGTGAAATTTGGAACTCGAGAAAGGAGATAGGATAGCAAAAATCTCAATCAAGAAGTCACTACTCCACGCGAAGATCGTCGCAGGCAAAATCTAGTATAGTCATATAGAGAAAAAATAAATAAACGTAAAAGTTCATTCAAATGTAATCTATTTCATAGAATTCATAAAGCCATACACAGTAAACACGGTATTCGATGGAAATCTTAAGATTAAATATTAAAATGAATGGTTAGTAGTACTTGTAATTTATCTAAAAGTACCGAGACCAGTCCAATCGCCCATCAATATACATTCACTTCCCGTTGGTGCCGTAAGAAAGTGATTCAGGGATTATGTCAATAGAAAAGGTAGACAGTACTTCCTCTGTTCATTTTTTTTTAAGAATTTGTTATAAAGAAATAAATGGCATCAATGTCCCGAAGTATAGAAAAAAAAAATTTGGCGAACTTTAGAATTGGTGGTGATTGCTTCTAACCTTCTAATAAGGTATTTTTACATTGTTTTTATATCTTGAAGGATGTTTTTAAGGGACAACCGTTACAACACGCCATAGATGCTGCAACTCCTGTAAGATCTACAATAGATACTACCATGAAAACAGCGGAACACTGAAGTTTGGTGCGTCCTAGGAACATGAATGTCTTTTTTGAATCGCGCAACGATAAAATCATAAGATTTTATTTGCGGATAAGGAAAACGAGCTTGATGCATTGTATTCAGAAATGATTATCTAACTACAGAAAATTTGTTCGACCGTTAAAACTGAAAGATATTGGCATTACCAATTTTCATTTAGCTTTCTCAGTTTCTAGAAAAGCAGAAATGTTATACAATTTATTATCAAACGCTAAAATATATAAGATGGTGAATAGTAATATTTTTGTAAATTTACGTATTTTTCCGGCACTTCGCGTCATAACTTCCTAGAGATAGAGCTTCCTAGAGCCTTTAAATAAAAACTAAGGAAAGAGATACATAGATAAATACGTATAAGAACTATTTTCAACTACGGTATACAGCGATTAATAATATTACTGTCCACCTCTAAGTATTTTTTTTTATTTTCTGATAAACTTAGACAAGGTATAAAATTGTAATGGCCCTGTTAAGTTCGTTAACTTGTATGCATATACATATGCAATCATTAATTACTTATTGAACATGATTTTTCACATTATTGATTATTCAAGCGTAACATCAATAATAGCAAGATCACAGATTACCAACATAACTTCAATTTGGATTTTCGTTATGAAACACGTGGCTTTTTTGTGAAATACAATAAAGAACTTTACCTACACACACATAAAGTACATATCGGATAAACTGAACTAAGCCAAAGGTTTTACGTTATAATTCGAAGGACATGCTTAACTTCTAAACGTGTTGCTCTCACTTTTTATCATTGGTATGGATGTATATACCTACGTACAACGGTATGTGCTTATATGTATGTAGTTCGGATACACGTAGCGGCTAAACGTGACGCATACCCTTCAAACAAATGCATAACGTGCTATAAAGAAATATACATACATGCATATTATGTACACATAGAAGTTAAATTGTCATGCATTTTCTAGAGATAGATAAAGATAATTAAATATCTCGATTCCTACATACTTCTATCATTTAATTATACATTCATCAATCATAGAATTTGTTTTACAACACCCTGTAATGTGAGTACTTTTTGTAGATTGGCCTGATGACTAAAACTACCCTTTTTTTGAATGGGGAAAATCATCCAGTGACTTCTGGGGTGGTTTGATGGGGAGTGTCAGACTATTAGTAACTTAAAACCATTCCTTTCCTTAAAATGAAAGGAACATACATGTATACTCTATACTAATACTATAAAGAGGTAAAATTTGTAAGTTTGTAAGTTTGTATGTAGGGGGAAATCTTTAGAACCGCTGGACGGATTGCCAAAATTCTTTCACTTATAGATAGCTACAATGTTCCTGAGTGCTATAGGCTACAAAACATCACGCTACGATCAAAAAGAGCCGAGCAGCGGGTCAAATCGCGCGAGAGTAGTTAGCTAGTGACAAATATTGCGTAAAGGCAATAACTTGTTGTATTAAGTACTTTTATTTTGTTTTTTAAATTTGTATTGTTTTTCTTGTACTTAATCCTAATTAGTTTTTTTTAAGTACCTAGATAATAGTATTTATATAAAATTAACAATATAACATAATGGCGTAAGCTGTAATGTTGTATATGTACATATTCTTATTTATTAATTTTATTGGAAATTAAAAAGTTACAAATATTAGATTTATTTGTAACTTTTTCATTCTTCGCAGTTCCGTATTTACTTTGTCCCAACACAAATGGATGTACTTTAAAAGGGTTGGTATCAGACCATCACATATTTTATCAATGAAAGTGTGCTACGAACATTATCCTTACCTTCGATCAACTATGTACTGTACTAATCATTCCTAAAGGTTTCATTTCATTCATCGAAATTTATTTACATATTTTTTTTCTATTATATCAGCACGATATGCATATAATGGAAACCACATTCGCAACAGTGATGTATTTAATATGAAACTTATTTTAATGGTGATAAATATGAAAGTTCGGGGTACAACGGGCCCCTGAAAAAAAAGAAAAAAACTGATAAATCGTCCTTATTTAGGACTTTCAATTGTACATAATATGAATAATGGTTTCAAAGGAAACCCAGCGTACCTTCAACGTATAGGTAAACACTGATTAAGTAACGAATTACCTTGTCCTAATCTCATTCTGAAGGTGTTATGTACATTATAATTTTAAACAAATATCCTTAATATCAAACTAATAAATAACGTATATCTCTCTGTCGATAACTTTTACAACCACTTTGATATAAAATCGATATCGAACACGTTTAAGACTTGCATGATATATATTGCAAAGTTTGTTTACATATATGAATATTATGTGAAATTTAAAACCCAAGTGACTGTTGCACTATCTTTACATAAGTAAGTACAAGATAAATTTCTATGCCACAGAGTGCCAATTACGTTCTATATTCAAATTGATACATGGCAGTTAATAAAAAAAAAGGTTAGATTCCTTATTTAAAAAGACACACATACATAGGACTAAATAGTGACGTGCCTAACAGAAACTTAAGCAGTTATCTTACAATATCTCTTTGTAATTATATTGCGATAAAATATATAAAAACATAACAATAACATAGCAAGCCACAATATATACTAACAATAACAATATTTACTTGGTGTAATTATTTCCGAGCAATTAATTGGGTTTTGTTCGGACCTTATTTCATTATAGTCTGTGCATCTATGGACTATGGCCCAGTCAGTGAACTTTATACTAAAACATGTCTTAATCTTATTTATTTGTATGGCAGTAAAATCGATGCAACGCAAAAATAACTGCGATAAAGATATTATCACTTCTACATACATAGTTGTAAAGATGCATAAATATTGTTTTCGTTTCTCTATCTTATTAACAGACTAACAAATTGGATAATGTCATTTAGTATTTAAGTACCTATGTTTGTAGATATTACGTCGACATGTTGATTTATGTCAATGTAGTAAAACTTTACGCACAGATAAAGTGTATACCACTTACAGTAGCTACATATAATTTGTTTTATTCAGTACTTTTAGCTCCAATGTCATTTATACACTACGATTTCCTGTAGGAATTGTTAAATAGGCATTTTGTATTTTGTAACTCGTAAGGGATATAGCAGACCTTGCAATATTTATTGTATCTACAAACAATTTAACTCGTATATATAATCAGTTGTAAATTTTATTTATAAAACATGTTTAAATGCATGAACACTACAATTTAATGCCGTCACACATTCTGCTTGTTTAGCTTGTAATTTAAATTCACATTTCATTTATAAATGTAAAATAAATCATCATAACATTCGCCGAACGAGATACCCGTATGGTAAAAGAGAAATGTACCTTTATACTCGTATCTCCAGGTATACAAATATCAAGGACAAAAATGCTAATATCGTGTGTATCTGACCAGAATGTGGGTCAGTGTTAAATGATCGAAATGATACCATTCGTATTAGTTAGTGAATACTTTGAATCTGCAAATGTAATCAATATTACAAATGCACGGACGCAACGCGATTTATACAACAAACATCACTACACGCGCGTTACCTCTACTTACAATTTATTTGCACATTTTAAAGGTTTTATTAATAACTCTCACAATGATTGAAAGTAAGTGCTTTTCGAGATGCTCTATAGAACTCGTTGTCAACCTATCCACGTAATTTAACAAAGAGTTGCCTTTCACTTAGCATTCGGAACTGACACGTAGACTCGATTTTGATTCTGACCATGGAAGTATAGATGAAATAAACTCACCTACCTTGCGATGCTGCCGTGGTGGTAGAGCCGGACGGTGCACACTAATAAATTCACAGTGTTATCATAGTTAGAACTTGATTGTCATCTGGAGCGAAAGTGATAGTTTCCGTGTAACGCGCGGTGGCCGGTGAGCGAATTCGGTTCGAGTGAGTGGTGGCGTGGTAGCGACGTAGCGCAGATAGTAAGGTCGCGAGTCGCGGGGCGCCTGCACTCGCGGCGACTACTCGGCGCGGAGTGGAGAGCGGGTAGCTCGAGCCGTGGGCTCCGGCCGCGCCACGGAGCGCCAGCCGCCAGCCTCGCCACTCACCACTACCACCCAACTCCCGGCACCCTTACCGCTGTCTACTTGTATATACATACCCATTTCCTGCTATAAACATTTAAACCTACATCTGAAAAACTTTAAAAAGAAACACGAAGTACTAAACTAATTATTCATTGATATTTACACAAGTATCCCGAACACTTATCCTTTCAACCGAAAGCTACACGTCTACAAATATAAAAAAACTGAACACGAGATTTAAAACTAATCTGCGAAAACAATCATCATGCAATGTAACCAATAATAACTTTTCATGGAGATTAAACTAAAACTTAGTTGCCATGGTGTTGTTTCTTTACCTTTATTACTCTTCGCAACATTTCATTTGAGGCGTGCGTATTGATTTTTAATATCGCCTGCAATTTCCATGAGACACTGTCAGTAGTAGGTATACCTAACTCGAAGATACACGACGTCATGTCTGACCTATTTCTAGGTATCATTTATGTACATTTTGAGTTACTCATGTACTTAGTTCAGCTCTCAAAACCGTCACTTTTGCTTAGGGTTTTCGTAAGTATGTTAACACACTATAATTATGCTGTTATTTTTTTAAGAATAATATAGTAATATTGTCCGTTATACAATTAAGAAATTTTCGTTTCACAATCTTTTTTTTATATATGTACCTACAGGACAGCAAACAGACGGATTGCGGTAAGCAATCGGCGTCGCCAATGGACACCCACAAGACCAAAGGAGTTATGAGTGCGTTGCCGGCCTTTTAAGGATAAGGGTTTTGGATATTTAAGGATTGGAATGGCATGGGGGAAGGAGAAAGGGCCCAACCCTCCGGTAACCTAACTCACACGGCGAAACACAACGTTGTGATTGTTTCACGCTGGTTTTCTGTTAGGCCGTGATATCACTTCAGCGGATGGAGCCGACCCATCATTAGCTATATACTATCTAAAATAGCACCAACACAAATGATTAGGTATTAATTATGTATGCTTAATACGGAAATTCACGGGTTATTCGTTCGTATCTAATCCAGTCTAGATTTACATTATTAAATTTCGATGTTTATATTAGTTAGGTATAGCCAAACTGATTGGACACGCGCACACATGACCATACAATTTCTCTAGAACCTTTTCAATGAAGTGTTTAAAGTATTAATTTTATATTATTTGAACATTCACTGTTGCCGAGAAAGTACTAGGGCAGCAGAAAGTTTAAGAGTTATTTTAACATTAACTCATAATGCCGAGTACTAGGGCGGCAGACAGTTTAAGAGGTAGATATTTTTTTTGAAAAAATACTTCTAAATTCCACGTTTGTTTCGCTCGTCTTTTTCAATTATACACGTTTCTTTCCAATTTTCATTGATAACTTATATCATATGTAAGTATCATAATTATCATATTTGGGTTTCAATGCTTTTCCACATTATATTATTAAGAGTCAAAACCACGATAAACAATCAAATATACATTCGATTAACAAAACAAGAACGAGCACTAATGCGTGCAGATAACGATAACTTGATAACAGTTTCTAATTAATCATCATTTTTTTTGTAACTTTGGCACTTTACCCGCGATTTTGTACGTGGGAATTCCATAACTTAAGTTGGCCATGAATATTTGTTAAAATATTGCGTAGTAATTTAGCGAGGCGTTCGAAGTTTTTTTTTCTGGGTGATTAGGGCAGCAAACGAGCAGACGGATTACCTGATGGTAGGCATTTGGTGCAACCCCTTGGGGACCCACAACGAGGGTTGGAGATTTGGAGATGGGTGCTCGGGACGCAAGCCAAGCAATTATGTCACGCCGGTGTTTCGTGAGGCGGTGGTATCACTACGGTCGAGCCGTCCCGTACATGCCGAAGCGTGACTAGCCTGCACTTCCGAAATATGGCTTTTCCATACTTGCAGTTCTATTCACATCTACCTATCCGGTGAATTTAGCGATTAATAGATCAGAATACCCATAAAAGGTTTCTATTTTATCCAAAAACAAACAAACCTAAAAGCCATATAAGTATCATCAGCAATTAACTGAAAAAACGAATGTTTTTTTAAAGACTTTATATAATACTAAATATCCTATAAACTACCATAGTTCCCTTCAGAAAACAATAAAAAAATAGCTAAAGTATTACTATTATCTTTCCTTGCCCCATATAATTTACGAGCAAGTTATTTTTCATAGTGACACCCCTAATGTTGACAACAACGATCCTTCGACGGCTTCGACCTGTTGCTCGAATAGGGATGGCGTAGCAACAAGTGAATCGTCGGGGTTGCCAACTCGAAAACCATTAGTTACACCATACCCGCTCGTTTACGACCCCTGAAAAACTTTCTACCATCGACTTATAACGTAGAATTTATATATAAAAATTGACGAGTTTGTATGTTGGGTTGGACGGGCAAATTAGTATTTTTGTCTTGGATTATTATAATATTGATTATAAAACGTCACGATACGGTTATTAGGAGCCGAGCAGCGGGCGAATGTAGTAGTCTAAAATGATGTAATACGGATTTTCAAAAAATGCTATAGACTCATTTGAATGTTCCCCTCCACGGAAATCTTTAGTAAAAGGTGAAAGATTTATGCGTTTTAAAGGGAAACCAGAGTTTTATTTATTAGCTTTTATCAGACTGCCTCGTTGGTAAAATTGATGTACGTGCGTGACTGTTGAGGAGTCGCATTTCGGATGTTTACAATTATTGTTTTTTTTGTAATTATCAGTAGTGGTCCTATTTATAAATAAGAATAGTTCTTCATAAGAATACTGTCTAGAATTATGTGTAAGTATTTGACGGAAAGAAATTAATGACCGAAAGCGGTTTTACGTACATACATACATACATTACATTATCATGACTAACACGTTTATGTAGCAGCCATAGCCAGAGCGCCATATAGGTACAGAGTGGGAGCAAATGACACCCAATTTATAATAATTCTTAGCCGGAATCGGGAATCTAATCGGAGATCCCTTAGGGGTCATATCTGCAACCTCTTCACTAAAGGGGCATCAAGAAAATAATACTATATAATGATAAAGATAAAGTTTATTATTTACGGCACGGTCGGCGCGTTGTCTAGGCAACCGACAGTACTACGTGTCGTTGGTTTCACAAATGTTTGTTTCTGGCTTCTGAGGGCCTACCATTTTATATTATAGCTATTTTTTTTATGGAATTTGTCGGCAAACGAGCAGACGGATTACCTGGTGGTAAGTAATCAGCGCCGCCCATGGACACCCGCAACGGAGGAGTAACGAGTACGTTGCTGACCTTTTAGGGATTAGAGCTTTGGAGCTTCAGGGATTAGGAGGAATCTGGGGATGGGAAGGATTGGGCCTCCGGTAACCTCACTCACACCTGTGGTTGTTTCACGTCGGTATTCTGTGAGGCCGTGATATCACTCCGGTCGAGCCGACCCATTCGTACCGAAGCTTGGCTCTCCCACACATAAATTATAGCTCCATCCCTCTTTCTCGCCCAGAAGATTGACGCTTTAACACGTCATGGTAGACCTACTGGTCTATGTGGAATTGTACGAGGATGTCACTGTCAAATAAACAGCTTTAAGATAGGTACAAGAGAAAGTCCTGGTATCGTATCTTTACTTATAAATTTTTTGTTGCTTCTTATTTAAAGAATTTCTTGCTCGTTCTTCTCCATTGAAAGATTTTCCACTTTGGAATGAGCAAATAGCTTCATTAAGAGGACTGACCGACTGACGCTTTTATCTTTAAGCTTTCTTTGACGTTCCAAAGTGCATGTAAGGGTCTAATTGAAATAAATTACTTGGACTTTGATTTTTTTAATAAAAACTAGAGCACGAGTTTGTAAAATGCTCTTTTGAACACACCTTAAGACACAATAAGTTCAGAATAAGTGTATAAATTGGTAATAGGTAAAGCTACTCGATTCTATTGATCGTAGCTTGCTTCCTAATTTTTCTATTTGAACCAGTAATTGCTGAGATGAGTTCAAAATAACGAACTTTTCAGCCTTACAAAATAAGATATTGGAAAAAAATAAATTTCAATGAAGTGTGGCATCCACATTTTTTTCTGTGTTTTATCAGTAGATCTTAGGAGAGGCGAAGTGAGTGGTATCATGTTCAATACCTATCAATACAATATATACATATAATTTTTTTTTTTTTTTTTTTTTTTATTTTTTTTTTTTTTTGTGAGGGGAAAATCATCAAATGACTTCTCCCGCCCAGGGCCGGGCAGGAGGGAGTGTCAGACTGTTACTGACTAAAAACCCCCCTGTTCCTTCTCCTGCTCTGTGCCGAGGTCGCGGTCATCAGCCCTTTAGGACCCCGTCTGTGGTGGTCTATTGGCTCTTTGAGGCGCGCGCGGAACGCTACGCGCCGTACGCTCGGGCCTGGTTCTGGTCGGGCGGCGAGCTGCCCTTACTCGCCGACCGCAGGCCCGTACTTACGGTGGCCGGAGATCGTCCCTCGATCCCCGACGCCCGTAGTGTCGCCAGTTGCGGCTGCTGGGGCGTGAGGAGGAGGATTGCTCCCTCACGCGGGCCGCCTCTCTCTTTGCGAGCATGACTGCTTCACAAAAGGAGGAGACGGCGTCCCAGTTCCTCTCACTCCGCACCATGGCCTCGACTAAGGCCGGGCGCGAGAGGTCGCCGCCGCCGATCACTTCCCTGAGGATACGGCGGTGCTCAGCCCAGGCAGGGCATACCGCTACCGTATGCTCCACCGTATCCTCTAGGTGGTCCTCACAATGACGACACTCGGGCGTTTCCTCCCGCTGAATCCGAAACAGGAACCTACCGAAGCTGCCGTGCCCGGTAAGCACCTGCGTCAGACGGAAGGTGAGGGCGCCGTGGCGTCTCTCAAGCCACTCCTCAAAGAGGGGTCTTACCGCTGCTATGGTAGCGTGCCCGGCCCTCGGTTGCGACAGTCGTTG